TCAGCTGTCTCCTACCCTCTTTTCGTTTGGTTGTCCAGAAAATTCTCAGCGTTTTGGGTGTTTCGCTTTAAACAATCGGTGGCAAAAAGTTATAGTGGATCACACCAGCCGATGACCACCACACTGTGACCATAATCTTTTTTCGTGAGGATTCGGCTTTGGAAATTGCCTCGGTGGTTCGTCGGCATCCAACCACTGTCCGGAACGTCTCCTGTTATCATACATGATCCACCAAAAGCAGTGAAGAAGGAAACCTCGAGACGTGCCAATTCCTGCCGGTCACTCAAATTGTGGGGCACCCACTTGTCGAGTTTTTTCACCTTCCCAATGCGTTCAGACCATCCGCAACAGTGGATTTGCCAACGCCTAGCTTTTCTGCAATCTCTCGAACTGTTTGGGATGGGTCAGCCTCCACAAACGCCTTCAAATCCTCGTCAGGTATTGCTTTAGGTCGACCGCTACGAGGTTCATCTTCAGGGCTGAAATCTCCAGAACGAAATTTGTCGAACCATTGCCGCACGGTGCTTTCTCTAGCACTATTGGGCCCCACACCTGGTTAATTTGTTGAGCTGTCTCGATTGCGGATTGACCCAATTTTTAGTCGAAGAAAAATATCGTCCGAAGTTGCTTTTTGACATGCTTCAAAAAGTCTTGGGAAAAGGGGGTTTATCAAGCAATGGTGAAACGGCAATTATACCATCAGATAGCGCAAAAAATTCTCTTCAGGATGTACTACTGAGACGCAAGGGAGAAGTTTTAATCAGCAATGAATGTACAAAAATAGTAACACAAAACGGTGGGACTAATAGCTGGTAGACGCTGATAGACGCTGCTGTAGATCGATATCTATACTTCACTAGTAGACGCTGCTCGTTGCTGGTGGACGCTGATGGACACTCGTAGGCGCTGCTGGTCGCTAAATCGATGCCTACACATTCCTGGTCGCTGACGCTGCCGGACGCTAGTGTTCGCTGGTGGACGCTTCTGGTCGCTTGTGGAAGCTACCGCAAAGTATGAGCGCAGCCAAGAAAGTGAGTGGAAGCAGTCAAAATCAGCGCTGGATTATCAATTGGAGCGTCATGCAAAAAAAACAAAAAAAAAGTGCGGTGCTCAAAATGACCTTAAGTTGGACCAGTACTGCGGGTTAGTCGTGGGACTACAATGTGTTCTCAGCCGCTCTTTTCTAACTGGTCTTTAGGTTTTGTATCTGTTTTTCTCTTCATTTATTTTCAGTTATTCTAATAAAACCTTCCACCTTTCTAAGTGAGATGACCTAATATCCCTCCAAGTCTGAGTCAGTATAGAGCGAACGTGCTCATGTAAGCAGCAACAACTGCGCCGTTGTTTGATACGCTTTGAGACCGAATAGTTCATCGTTTTCTGGCCGAACTACACCGAAAGTAAATAAACGTATATAAAAGCAAAAGGTTACCTGGTCCCAGTAGCCCAGTTTTTGAAACAACGGTTGCAAATTTGATGAGAACGTGCATACCCATTGGAGATCGTCGAGTAACTGCTTGCGATCAGGATATAGGAGATAGAAGTAACCGTCTAGAAGGGTACATGAGTCTTACAGAATAACTCAATGCATTCTCGATGTTGTATAAGCTAAACTCAAAATCCCTGAAATACGGTAGGCGCGGCTACGTAATCGAATTGAACGTGGCGGCGGCCAAGGTCTTTGTGAGATATTTTCATTTTTGGGACGATTATAATAATGTCTTTGATGAACACAGAACAAGATGGCAGTTGTCTCGTATTGAAATATCCCACAAAAACCCATCCTATGTCAAACGCCACTCTACTCTGAGGGATAAGGAGTGTATACTGGGCCGAAATATAATTTTCATGCAACATCAGTTATAGTAAAGGTTTTCTAAACTTACATATGTACGTAGCGACCACAACCAGTATATAGAGAGGAATGATCCGTTTGAACCTGCGTGAGTAGAAAATCCGAATAGACGTAAGTGAAAATTCTTTCTCGCGAAGAATTTTAGTCATCAGGAAACCAGATAGTACGAAAAACCTACACGAAAAAGAATTTCCTGTAAGAGACAGAAAGCGACAATGCTGAAAACTCTGAAAATATGACTTACATGTCCACTCCTATAAAGCCGATCCGAAATAGCTGCGGCCTAATGTGCATAATTAGGACATATGAGATCGCAATTCCTCGAATACCTTGCAGATCCACTCTCTTAGAAGAGCTAAATCGTAGACATGGTTCGTTGGCGAAGACCAAGAGGCCAGTAAAACTCATTGAACTGACTTTAGTATTGCAACTTCTATTATTTGTTTCACCTATGCTCTCCTTACTTGCTGAGTTGCATGAACAGACACCGTAACATCTGTGCCAATTCCAGTCATAAGTTTCTCAAAGAGTTAGCTGTTAGGTACTCTCTCCACGCATGGATCCTGGTAATCAATTCTGCCAGGGTTTTTATGTATAAAGTATATAAAATGCCTATTGCCATCCTGTCTGAGTTTTGATGAAGAAGCTTGACTCGCGAGATGATGGTCATCTAGATGCTCTTTCGACAACTCATAGGATAAAACGAGTCAACAGTAGCCAGTGATTTTTGAGGTCTGGCTCTTCCAGATACCTTAAAGAACTTGGTTGAGTCTCTCGACTGTTGGCTGACTTCCACCAGGAACTTTGCTCCGTTTTTCTCCCCGTGCTTTTGGGGTACCAAAATTAATGAACTTCCCCATACGCTCTCCTTTTTAACAGGATACAGCATCGTGATGGAATGGTGATCCCAGCACTACCCCCCCCCCTTCCTCATGGGGGAGCGTCTTAGTACGACTTCCCCCATTTGAATGAGGGTCTCGGTACACTCCCCCCCCCCATTCCGCAGGAACCCACAAATTCCCACACTTTCCAGTTTTTCACCCACAGATTTTCCAGCCAGGGCACATCATTGGTTGGGGATTTCAGTCGAGTCCATAAGACCCTTTTTGGGGGTTAGTACGTCGAGCGGGGAGTAAATAGCACATGTGAAACAGGAAAAGCCGCGAGACAATACGACTCCCCCCCCCTTCTACCAATTCTCAGATTTTCCCCAACTTCCTGCCACTTTTTCCAAAATTTCCCGAAAACTTCCCTACTTTTCCCAAAAATTTTGCTGTCGAGGCGGGCGGGGTGTATAGTACGCATGAAATAGGAAACTCACAAAAGCCAACCGTTCCTACAACCCCAACACGTGAATAAGATCCCCCCTCCCAACAATGACCAAGTACGACCCCCTTTACAACGTCCGTGAAGCGAGAAAAATCAACTATCAAAATAAATTTTCCTCAGCCAAATACGACCTCCCGGCGGTCAAATACGAGCCCGTCCTATTGGGGGATTCCCCAACAACGATCTGCCCTGTTTCCAGCGGGGGAAGGGAGTAAACAGTACACATGAAACGGGAAAAATCACGCGGAAAGTCAACAAGC